TCATCACCAGCACAACAGCTAATACCACAACCGCCGTCAGGACCGCTGCAGCAACAGAGGTTCCCCAAACACTCCGTACTACCACCGTCCCAGCTGGAAACACGACGGTTACATTCCCAGGTACAGCTAGCCCCACTGTGGCTGCACCGAGCACTCCAGCAACTCAGAACTTCAGTGCAGCTCCAAGTAAGTGCTACAGCTTCCGCATGTGTAAGGGAGGTGCTGTGCCAAGATTGATGGCCAGCCGTCTGGGAGAGGGATGCAGGGTTGGAGCAAGAGGGCAGCGGTGGGACTGGGCCGGGAGGGCACCGGGATTGAAGTAATTAGTATTTGAATATGGGTTTCATTGGAACATGGCGTGGCTAAGTCTACACAGGAAAGACCCAATAGCGTCAGCACCACATCAGGTACTAATGCAGTCCTGCGCAGTGGGAGACCAGGCATTGCAAATGGGTCACACAAACAGCCGCCTTCGGCCCGAGGTCGGGCCCCGAGTGCCTGGAATGCGGCACTCAGGGTTTGGCAGAAATACCAGCTTCCCCGTGTCCAGGGGCGTCAGGGGTGGCTGGGCTTTCCTGAGCTGAAATAGCAGCATGGGTTTGTGCTTTCCCCTTGGAACCGACCGGATGGAATACGGGTTTCTCCGGAGCCAGCACCAATGGGATTCTGTTTTTCAAACAGCTGCACAAGCCATTTCAAGCCCTGGCCCCAGGCTCACAGCTGGGCGCGGAGCTCGTCCTGCCAGCCAATAGCACCACACACTACAACTTCACGCCTGTCGCCCACCACCCCTGTTCCTGCTGCTAGCACAACAAAGGGCCTTCACTATGGAATCAGTGTAAATATTCCCCTGTATTCCCGCAGGATGAAATTCATCCTGGGCAGAAGGGCCATGACACAGCCTAGGGCTTAGTGGGCTTTGTGGTTTAGGAGCCCTGTGCCGGTCCTCTGCAGAGGAACGAATTTCACCCTCCTCGCCTTGTCCAGTGGAGCTGAGGTAGATTGGTGCCACTGCTGCGGGAAGAGGCACAGAAGGTATCTGGAGTGTTTGCCTGGGTGCCTGATTTCCGAAAAGCTGACCTGCTGCGAAAAAGCAAACCAAGCATTTGAAATGTAACCACTCCAGGGCCTTGTTAGCCACCAATAACAAGGGGGCACATTCATGTGCTAGGTGAGGGCTTGGGCGAATCCAAACAAGGACATGATGTGCTGTGGATAAATGGTTCTAGGCCAGGAATGGCAGTGTGTGTGAAATGGGAACCCAGCGGCATGGGGGATGATGTCGGAGAGGCAAGGGGGGATCTGGGAATTAATTTATGTTCTGAAAAATCATCATCATACAAGTTCCAATGAATAAAAACTTCCCTATAGTATATAGCAAGATGGATGCGTGTACCCCCATCTGGGCATGGGTTCTTTGTACAGAATTTTGTCAATTTTAATTACCTTTATTATTTGATTACTAATATGGTTTGAGAGATGGAAGGTGTGTGTAACATTCCTCCACCACCAGTCATCAGCAAGGTTTGAACTCTGAACTGTCCACAACAGAACACAAACCTTGTCCACTTGAGGTAAAGGAATAACTCCATTAGCTGGCAGCAGTAGTAGGTTGTTATCCTCTAGGTGACCCAGCCACTGGGGGAGGCGGGGTGGCACACCACCGACTTTACAAGTGTGCTACATTTCAGCGATGGTTTATTACATTCCATCACAGATTATAACCCTGAAAAACATATTGTCTATATAGGTTTGTCTACTCATGAAAATGAATGCAGAATAAACTAGGGTGAAAATTTAAAGCAGGTTAACTATTCCTGAATAATTCCCTGTGTGGACGCTCTTATTCCAGAATCAGAGTGTCTTATTCCCAAGTAGCTTAATCCACTTGCAAAGAAGGCATTATTATTCTGGAATAAGAGCATCCACACATGGAGTTAAGCAGGAATAACTGCATGTAGACAAGCTCTATTGCGGAGAGGGGAAATTCACAGATGTGTGATGGGTTTGGTCACAGAGACCCCTTTGGGACAGTCACCTGACGTGCTGAATTTACCTGTGAGCCCGTTTTCCCTGCCAGCTTGGGACTCCAGAACCCTGCCTTGTTGAGCCAGACACGCCAGCCTGCTGCAACCCAGACCCAGGGTCTGGTCCATGCCCCCAAAGCTGCAGACTTTAACCAAAAACTGCTCAGCAGGTCACCTATCTCCAGCACCCAGACACCCAGTTCCCAATGGGATCCAAACCCCAAATAAATCCGTTTTACTCTGTATAAAGCTTATATAGGGTGAACTCATAAATTATCCGCCCTTTATAACACTGATAGAGAGATATGCCCAGCCGTTTGCTCCCCCAGGTATTAATCACTTACTCTGGGTTTACTAATAAACAAAAGTGATTTTATTAAGTATAACAAGTAGGATTTAAGTGATTTCAAGTAATAACAGACAGCACAAAGTAAGTTACCAAGAAAAAATAAAACAAAACACGCAAGTCTAAGCCTAATACATTAAGAAACTGTTTACAGGTAAAATCTCACCCTCAGAGATGTTCCGATAAGCTTCTTTCACAGACTAGACTCCTTCCTAGTCTGGGCCCAATCCTTTCCCCTGGTACAGTCCTTGTTAGTTCCAGCTCAGGTGTTTTCTCATGACTGGCAGCCTCCTTTGTTCTGCTCCACCCCCTTTTATAGCTTTGGCACAAGGCGGGAATCTTTTGTCTCTCTAGATCCCCACCCCTCCTTCTAAATGGAAAAGCACCAGGTCTAAGAGGGATTCCACCATTCTTCCTGGGCTGTCTTACATGAACACAGGAAGGTTTGCAAGCAAACCATCATCAGTGGCCCACACTTTGCATAGTTACAATAGGACCTCAGAGTTATACTTTATATTGCTAGTTTCAGATACAAGAGTGGTACATTTATACAAATCGGATGATCACACTCAATAGATTATAAGCTTTGGAATGATACCTTACAAGAGACCTTTTGCATAAAGCATCTTCCAGTTACATCATTTTTACTCTCACAAGCATATTTCCATAAAACATTATGGAGTGCAGCGTCACAGGGAGGGGGAGGTATCAGGTGCCGAGGAGGAAATGGAAGGTTTATGCTGGTTCTTTCCTCAGACCTAGGACCTATAGAAGAAGTAAAATGTTTGGTTTTTTGGAGCTGGGCTCCCCCCTTGCAACCAGCACAGTATCTGCACGCCGCTGCAGACAGCACTGACGGCAACTTTCTTTTAAACAGCCACGGACTCCGCTGCTAGGCCTAACTCCACAGCCCGGCCCGGGATCCCAGATGTCACGACAGAAGAGCAGACAACAGCGGTGCCCAGCTGCCACCCTCCAGCTGCCAACACACGTAAGGGCTGTAACTGCTTGGGGCAAATCCTCATCCGAGTGGCCGGGCTGTGTGCTGGCAACCGAGGGAAAGGGGTCCTCTTGCCAGGCCACGCTATGGCAACTGCTGCATCCCCGGAGCCTCTGCCCTTGAACGGCTCGTGGATCTGGGTAGTCGCAGGCCCACCAGCCCTGCCCCCGGCTGATTCCTCTCCTCCCCAGCTACGGGGGATCTGGCAGCAAGGGTTTCAGCCCAGATAAGCCCGACATTCCACAGGTGCCTTTGTGGTTTGTAGTTTTTAATCCCCCTCCCCCAGATCAGCTGTGCCATAAATTCAGAGAACTCGTCTCTTGCTTTCTATGCACAAAGGGGGTCTGTTCTCCAGCCGGGGTCTCCGGGGATTTCTGGCGAAGGACCATGGACCAGGGCACGAGCTGAATGTCCAGTTGCCGTTCCGGCCTGTCTCTGGGGAGCCGGAAAAGCGTTCTGGTACAATCGCTTACAAGGGATTGGTCTAGGAGACCCCGGAGTCCTCACCCACTGCCACCGGCATGACACACAGTGACACACAGAGCCTGTGAATCGAGGGCAGAGCTGGCCCCAAGGGTTGGTTTAGGGATTAGAAATGAGAGGAAGGGTGGTCTTGTGATAAGGCATCGGGCTGGCTTCAATTCCCGGCTTTGCTGCAGACGCCCTGTGTTTCCTTGGGCGAGCGACGCAGGGTCTGTCTACACTGCAGTTAGACACCCGTGGCCGGCCCGGGCCAGCTGACTCGGGCTAAGGGGTGGTTCATTGCGGTGGAGACATTCGGGCTCCGGCTGGAGCCCAGGCTCTAGGACCCCATGGGGTGGGAGGGTCCCAGAGCTCGGGCTGCAGCCCAAACCTGTCTACACTGCAGTTAAACAGCCCCTTAGCCTGAGCCCCACGAGACCCAGTCAGCTGGCACAGTGCAGACGTACCCTGAGTCTCTCTGTGCCTCAGTTCCCCATCTGTACAATGCTCTTGTCTATTTAGATTTGGGGCAGGCTCGTTCTCGTCCAATAAGTATGTACAGCACCTAGCGCCATGGGGCTCTGATCTTGCTGGGGGCGTCTAGATGCTACTGGAATGGAAATGATTGGTAACCTAATAATAATTTGCTCTCTCCATTCCTAGCTGGTGCTCGCCTCTTCCTATCACTGGGACTGACCACTCGCCTGAACATCAGCGAGCCCCAGGTCAGGGGTATGGTTTTGTCTAAGGTGAGCTTGGTGAAATCTGACAGCTCTCCCATAGACTGTCAACGCAGACCGCCAAGGGGATTGCCTTTCAAAGCAACGGTTGAATCGTTGGGGCTGAATAGCCACTAGCACTGTAGAAAGATGCAGACCATGGTCCAGAGGAGAATTAAGGGTTCCTGGGATCCTGGGCCAGAGCAAGTGGGGGGCCCCTCCCCACCCCTTCCGCCTGAAGCCCCCCCCCCACAGCCCCACCCCTTTCTGCCCCTTCCTCGGGGCCCACCCTTATTCCACCCAGGGTCCCCCCCACTCTGCCTCTCCCCACCGCAGCCCCGCAACCCCTTTTGCTCCTTTCTCCCCCCCCACTGCAGCCCCGAGACCGTAGAAGCTTTGTCCCAGTGGGGAGTGAGAGCTCCTCCAGTCCTGGGGTCGCAGCGGGGCTCCGGGTGCTGAGGCATCCCCACCCCCCGCACTTCCGTGGGGGACCAGGATCAGGGCACTGGGGCTTCTCCCG